CTGAGGCAGCTGGCCCACTCCGCCTCATGGCGGGGCTGGCCCTGAGCCAGGGCTCCCCGCTCCCCTCCTTGTCCTTGGGGCCCCTCCTCCCTCACCCAGGCACTATCAAAATATCTATCTATCCACGCTCCACGGCTCCAAGGACAAAGGAATACCTGATGCAATTGCTTTCCTCTGCGCAGGTTCACTCCCATGCACTGCACAGTCAAAGGAACGTTTTGCTTACTTTGGCACCAGCAGGTTCATAGCTGCGGCCCTGAGGTTGCGCCGCAGCTCTTCCCTTTCCTGATAACAGGCTGATTACCCTCGCATTGCAAAGTCTAAATTGCAAAGTCTGAAGGTTCACCGGCCCGTCCGGTGTGTGCAATACCGTGCTTTTGGCCGACGGCCCATCCTTCGATAACGGGGTGGGAGCTAAAAATACATAGGTGGAGGAATCACAAAAGCAAAGCGAGCTCCACTGCATGTCTTAAAGATCCAGGGGCCAAGCAGCACCCTACCCCGTACGACCCAACCCTGTGTGTCCCTTCCCCAACCTGGTGCCCTCCAGATCTGCTGGACTACGCTCCCCTCAGGGCTGGAGGTGATGGGGGCTGCAGTCAGACACATACGAAGGGTGCCAGGTTGGGGAAAGGCTGGTTTAACTGGACTCCCAGCAGCTCTCCGGGGAGGCTGAAGATAATGGGAGTTGTAGTACCGGGTACCCAGGGGGCACCTTGTTGACCAAGGTCAGTGAGAGATTGGAGGGAGGGCTGCCTCCGCAGTGGCAGTGTGTGAGATGAACAAAATCCAACCCTCAGTTCGCAGAATATCCATGACGAGAAAGCGCATATGTGTCCATGCTCAATGTGTCGGTGTCTTGCTGTGACCCCCATCTCCTAAGGACTGCGGCTGAATAAGAAGAAAACGGCTTGGGACCCGGATACGTGAAGGAACGCCTGCTTCCATATTTGCCCTCCCGCCCCCTGAGATCGGCGGCAGAGGCCCTCCTCCGGGAGAGACATCAGGAGGCAAAGTACCCGGAGGAGGGCCTTCTCTGTGGTGGTGCCCCAACTATGGAATGCGCTCCCCAGAGAGGTCCGCCTGGCGCCGTCGTTATTTGTTTTTTGGTGCCAGGTTAAAACCTTTTTATTCCAGCAATATTTTAATAAGTTTTAATATTGTTTTTTTCTATGTTTTTAATTGCAGCCAGTGTGTGCCGGGGATATTATTTATGTTATATCTTATTTTATGTTGTAAGCCATCCTGAGGCTTTTTGAGAATTAGGGAGGCATATAAATATTCTAAATAAATAAATAAATAAATAAATAAATAAAATAAAACGAGAATCATGACTACAGAGGGATTACGTGCTTTCACTGTCAGCAACGGAGGGAGTCCCATTGTGAAAGACGCTGCATAGCTCTGCTCAGCCCTCAATTCTGCGGTGGCGCCTAAGTTATGGAACGCGCTCCCCAGAGAGGTCTGCCTGGCGCCGTCATTATTTGTTTTTCGGCGCCAGGCGAAGACCTTTTTATTCAAGCAGCATTTTAACTGTTAATATTATTGGATTTTATCTGGCCAGGGCGGCTTATTTTATACTGTATTTTTGTATTTTTAATTTAATGTTTATATTTTTGATTTATAATTATTTTAACTTATTGTTGTAAGCCGCCCCGAGGCTTCAGCGAATGGGGCGGCATAAAAAAGTTTTAATAAAATAATAATAATAAATTCAAAGGCTCTTGCAAAGGACGGCATACAAATATCCTAAATAAATAAATAAATAAAGGGAGGCTGCCACCAAGAAATCAGAAGACGACTTGAGACTTGGAAGGGCAGCCATGAAGAAACTAGAAAAGATCATCAAATGCAAGGATGTTTTACCGGAGGCCAAGGCCAAGCTCACGCACACCAGGGTATTCCCAGCCACTCTGTATGGGTGGGCAGTGAAGAAGGCTGACGGGAAGAAAATTGATGAGTCTGAAACATGGTGCTGAAGGAGAGCTTTACAGATATCCTGGAAAGATGAACTGGAGAGTCCTGGATCAAATCAAGTCAGGATTTTCCCTGGAAGCCAAAAGGGCAAAACTGAGACTGTCCTTCCCTGGGCACATCACAAGGAGGTAAGAATCCCTGGAGAAGACAGTCATGGGAGGAAAAGCCAAAGCCAAACGTTTTAAAATGTTATTTTTATTATTGTAAGCCGCACCGAGGCTTCGGCGAATGGGGCGGCATAAAAATGTTTTAATAAATAAAATAAATAAATAAAGGCAGAAGACAAAATATGAAACGGGTGGACTCCATCCAGAAGCCTCCGCCTTGAATCTGCAAGAACCGAGCAGGGCCGTCATGGGCGGGACATTTTAAAGAATTTTCATTCATGGGGTCACCAGAAGTTAGAGATGCCTTGGCAGCATGAAACAAAAACAATCTCCTACGAACAGCCCTAAGTCTAAAAAAGGGGGACAGAAGGGTGGGGGGCAGGGGGCATCCAGAAATCAGGACCCCGGATGATTCAGGGCTCCCACCTCCTGAATGGGCCTAACACCGGCTCAGCCTTCCTCAATGAGCTGCCCCCCCCCCCGCCGGGAAGAGGTGGACCACAACTCCCATCATCATCCCCAGTCAGTCAACATCCAATGAGGCTTACACCCTAAGAAGTAAGCATTCTCACCCAGGAAGAAGTCCCACTGAGTACAGAGAAGCATCTAAACAAACATGAATATGAAAATAGAAATCGGACTGCTAGGTATTCTCCCTAACATTCTTTAGTTTCTGCACAAATATTTTAACCCCTGGATTGTCTTAAGGTGCATGTTGAGCCAGAAAGGGGCCTACGACTACAATGCTGGGAATTGCAGGCTCCTTTCATGCCCAGCTTGCGGGTGCTTATGTGGCCGGGGCATGCTGGGAATTGCAGGCTCTTTTCTGTCTAATCATGCATCGGGTTGCACCCGCAGCTGTCCCTTTACGCGTCTTCCCAAGCACTCCATATCACGCCAGAGATCCCCATCCTATCCTCGTGGTGGCTGCATCAAAGGCAGCCTAGACAGCATTTAATATTTAAGGTGGCGCTGTGCTTTCCAAGCCACGGGAAGCGCCTCCGAAGGGGAAGAAATCTCCGCCCAGGAATAGAATTCAGCCCGGAGCTGCCTTTCCACAAATGCACAGCTCTAGAGACCTCGGAGTTTTATTTATTTTAAATACCCCCATCACATTAATAGCGTTTGATCTGCTTTTCAGATTTCTCAATGGGCACACCATGGTAGATTAAAGTGTGTACGGACGGTGTATGGATTCGTTATTCTCCCTCCCTCCCTGTCTTTGCGCTGCTCGCTTTCTACCCGGTTGCCCGGGGATCTGTCCAAAGATTTCTAGTACTGAAATTGCCTCTCTGAGAAATAAAGAACGGCTGCCCGGCAAATTTGCAGAAGACAACAGGGATGTGTGCGGGTCTGTTCGGAGCCGCATGGGAAAATGCCCAGTTTAATTTGCCTGTTTAATTGGCACTGTGTCCAGTTCCCCATGTTGAAAAGCGGCTGGAGGGGTGAGATCACACGGAGCGAGGGAAAGTTACTGCCGTCCTCCAGGCTCTGCCCCAACCCAATTTCTCCCCCTGAGCAGCTTGAGGGCCTTCGGGTGTTTCGGCCTGCAGCTCCATGAGGGTTTCCCATTGGTCATGGAAGATGGGAGTTGTAGGCCAAAACATCTGGACTGCCACCAATTCTCCTCCCCAAGTGGACTGCCATTTCAACTTTGCGGGAGGGGGACGCCATTCTTGAATGTATTTATTTATTTATTTATTAAAACATTTTTATGCCGCCCCATTCGCCGATGTACAGAAAAACTCCCCGCAACGGGAAAGGTTGCACGGAAGGCAAGGGCCGGCCTGAGCCTCTATCCCTTCTCTGCTCATTTTCTACTGGTGGGGAAGGGAGCTTGACTGCTTGGGGACAAATACCCTTTGGCGCATTGCGCTCCTTTCCAGTCCAGCCGGAAGATGACCAAGCGGAGGTCCTAGATCCATTCAAGCAGGAACTTGCCCCGGAATCAGAAAGGATGAAAATGTGGCGTTCCTCTTCGGGGCAGCCCGGAGAAGGCGAGAGTCCCTGGAGAAGCCTCCCTGCCAGGGAAGGCCAAAGGCCGGCGACCCGGAGGGCTGAGTGCGAGATGCGTCCACTCCATCCCCTGTGCATGAGCTGAGCAGGAGGGCGGCTGGAAGCCGGGGATGGGTCCTGAGGCCTTCTCCATCCTTTGCTGGCGGACCCAGGCCAGGCCAGGCCAGGCCAGGCCGTGCGGGTCAAATAAGGGGCTGCAAAGGAGGCAGCAGGTGGGACTCACGGTTTGCATGCCCCCCCCCCCCCCCGCCAGTCGTGGCGGCAGGAACCGGCGCCCCCCGCGCGGGCTGCCGTCCCCTCTCCAAGCTGCCTCGAAAACCCCACGCGAAAGCCAGCGCGAGCCAGCGAGGCCCTCCCCACGGGCGCCCGAGGCACTCGGGCACAGCGCCCCCTCGGCGCCCCCAGCGGCGCGACGTGGTACAGCCCGCAGCGGCGCCGCAGCGGGCAGCGGCATCA